AGGCCATTATAGCATTGGCCAAGATTCGAATTGTAACTGGACCAGAATCAGTCCTCTCATCAAGACTTTTGGAAAAATGAAAGGATGTAAATGCAAGAAATTAAGCTACTCTCAAAGTGAAGGAAACTCCTTACATTCCTCCTCAGAGAAACAAACAAAGAACGTGAAAGCACATTCTGCTGGCAGCACAGGACTCATGGAAGAAAGCCTCCACTGCATCGCATCTTCTTAAAAGGCCCAGAAAGTTCCTCTGCTGAGATCTTGCGTAGCTAAAAGGCCAGAAAGTTCTTCTGAGACTGCTCCAGCTCAGAATTTGAGGAGTTCTAAGAGACTTAGAACTGGTTCTAAGCCTCTCTGATTTGTTTTTTATGTGTTCTGAACAATTTATTTTTTCTTTATCTTCGTAGGATTATATTTTTTGGAACTGTTTATTTTTCTTTATTTTTGCTCTGATTTTGTCTAACCCTTTTTATGATGACAAAAAGGGGGAGAATGATGCGGGTACTATGGTGGTACTTTGAACTTTTTGGTACGTACTTGGTGACCAAAGTACTCATATCTTAGCGCTTATTGTTTTCTAATATGTGTTGATGTTTATTGCATTCTATATGGTCTATATTGTTGAGTTATATATTCTGTATGATAAGCTGAGTATTTTTAGAACTTAAATTCTTATTCTAACGACTGTTTTGCAGGTTGGACATAAGATATTTTGTTCTATTTCTAATATCAGTTTCTATTCTTTTGCTCTAACCATATGTTCTGTTTATTAGAACTTAGAATATCTTGTCTATAACCATAATGTTTCTGTTTATTAGAACTTACGAATATCTATGTCTAATCTTTGCCTAGTTCTTAATATCTATGCTTTGATTTGTTAGAACTTAAGAATATCTTGCCTATTTTTGCGAGTTCTAAAATCATCTTTCTAAAACATTGCCATCCCTAAGTTCTAAATTGTTTCACAAATAAGTTTTTATTGCATCTATTTAAGGGGCGAGCAATACATTTGTTCTAAATTTGTTTCTTAAAATCTTTTGGCATATTAGAACTTATATGCCAATAAAATTTAGGGGAGCACATATTTTTATATTTCGTAAATTTATTGGTTTTTCGCAGCGATACAAAAAAAGGGGGGAGATTGCCTTTGGCTCAAAGAGGTAAATTTCTAAATCTTCGGATTTATGATGATTAATTACCACGAAATAAATTTAAAATTATATTATTTATGTGCTTAATATTTTATGCAGCAATTTTTGTTTGGAAAGAAAAAATCGTACAAGGCAAGTCCTAACATTGAGCTCACGGAAGATAATCCGAAGTACCTCTAGTGCCTAGTTGTTAATTCTAGGAATACTTTGTAGGTATTAGAAGAAAATCCATATAGTGAGCACATAAATTATTTTTTTTTCTCAAAAATATTTTTTCGGAAAATAGATCTGTGTCATAATATATTCTTTATTGTTTCCTTTTCAAAACAATATTCCTTTAAAATCGAAAAGATTTAATTTCCTAAAACTAAAGAGATTTCTTCTTTCTAAACTGTTTTTGTAATAAATCCTATACTTTAATCGCCGAATATATTTGATAAGATCTAAAGTACTTAAATTTATTTTCTTACTTATAAAACGAGGTTTAGAATCTTTTCGTTTTTAGTCAGAGCAATCCTTTTCCGTAAAAATATTTAATCCAAATAATGCTTGCCAGGAAAATCTTTTGTTTAGTAGGAAAGCATAACTCGAGTTTTATTCTCTTACCAAAAAGGATAAAATAAATTTTGGTAACAGCACTTTTCATATCTTCTAAATAAGGAAAAGAGATATTCCCTGACTTTCAAAATAAAATGATTTCTCTGGTTCCAAATTGGCGACCCAAACCCTCTTTACATTTATAACAGCTTCTTAGCTTTTGCTAATATAAAGAAGGCTTTTCACGTCTTGAACTTTAGTGAAGTAAGAGTTTCGTTTTAAGAAAGCATTCTCAACCTTGATAAATCTTTATATCTTTCAAACTTACTCTCTACCGCCCCTTTTTCTTTTCATCTCTTACAACTTATCGGTTTTTATCTTTTAAAGTGAAAAGATTTTTACAATTTCTTTTGAAAAACGGGTTCCTTGTGTTCTAATCGATTCTTCTAATCTGATAAACCTGTTTTTTCCTGTGCTTATATTGGCGTTTTTTCTGTCTATTTAGATTTCTGTAATCTATAGTAGACAAGCTCTTTATTTGTTAAAACTTTGTGTGTAATATTATAATTAAGGTTAGGTTGAAGCTATTGTGATAAAGGTTAATCAAAGCGATACCTTCTCCATGTGTGGGGATTTCAATGTCCTTGAATTTGAGTTTTCTGTACTTCTGCCCAAAAATGAAAGGTTGAGGTTTAACTAACGAAACCTTTGGAAAATTCCGAGTGGGACAAAAGGGTAGATCTAGGTGTTTGATCTATATTACCTGTACCTGTTGGTTTGTCTCTTATCCCACTTTAAAAAGAGATTAAACATATGTAGAGGATACTCAAATGCATCTCTTTGGGAAGATGGATGTAGGCCGAGTTAGTGCCGACAGCATCTATAACATCTCTGTGTTGATCTTTTTATTTTCTGAAGTTTTGCCTTGATACTTGTCTTTAAACACCTCGGTCCTTAAATTTTAGACTATACGCTAAAATTCTTGTCTTAACATCTCCGCATGTTCTAAAACGGTAGGGATCAAAGTCTTATTTTTTGAACATTAGAACTCTGGAATTCTATTTATAAGATGAATATATACGCTATGTTCTTAACTGTTGTTTCTCACATTCAACAGAAATATTTCCACCGGCTTGGGTTTCTAATTAAATTTCTTACTACTTTTATGAGGAAGCCGATTCTAAAATCACATAGCTTCTCCAATTCATAAAGTTGTCTGATACTTGATTAAGGCTCTGTGAAGGAAGTTCTGAATTCAATAACGGTGTCTTTCCATAAGCTGATATTATATTGATTATTTTTAAACCACTTTTACTGAGGAATATAATTCAATAGCTTTCCCTTCATAATATGAAAGTTCTGATAAATTGAATAAGCAGTGTGAAGACTGTTCTAATCAAATAGCTGCACGGGTGGTGTCACCAGACTTCTCATCTTTTATTAAATAGAATCATTGGGTTTTAGGTGAATTTTCTATTATCCATAATTCTATTCTCACAAAGTTCTTTGTTTTTCCGCTGCACTTAGAATTCTATATTTTGTTTAATTTATATCTTCTAAAAATATTTGTTTTTCCGCTGCACTTAGAATTCTATATTTTGTTTAAAATTTCTAAAATTTATATCTGTTTTTAGAAAACCCAATTCACCCCCTCTTAGGTCGTGCCATACATATACGGGACCCATATTATCATCCCTGATGTCACTCCAGGAAATTCAAAATAAAATACAAAAATAAATTATCATTTTTAGAATGGTAATAAAATTCTCTTTCAAAAAAAGAATGGTTCAATAAAATATTAAGTTTTCTGTTAAGTGTCTTACTTGTCAATCTCTTAATAATTGCAGAGTTTACTCTTTGATAATCTATTTATGCTTGAGCCTTTTAACACTGAAAACTTGAATCCAAGCCCAAGCAAGAAAATCTGAAAACAAAATGTTGTTCTTTCTTGCTGCTATAAAGAAACTGTCAGCTAACTTCTGTCAATGCCTAATTAAGGATGAGGATCCAAGTCCTTTTGCCAACAAAAATGTGTCTTACTTGTCAATCTCTTAATAATTGCAGAGTTTACTCTTTGATAGTCTATTTTGCTAAAGAAAAAATAGATTTTCCATGTTGTTCTTCTTGTTCCCTTGAACTCCATGGATGAGTGATGGTGGATCCATATCACATACATACATATTTATTTATTTATTTGCAAATTTACACAAATTATCTCAATTCTTATGTCTCCACATAACATGTCAATAGGTAAGAAAAACCATATTATGATAAGCTTTAATTTTGAAAACTTCCAACAGCCTTACAACACTCTTCTGTAAACAACAATTAAGTTATCTTCCTTTTAATTTTTGTCGTACAACTTAATTGTTGAATTTTAACCTTTTCTTGACCTAATTAAGAAAGGCCTCTTTCACTCTGTAGCATAGCTTTGGATCCAGAGTGAATGTATTTTGTTCAAAAGCAAAAAGCTATATATGCTGAATTTCCTCCAATTCTACTCAAAGAATATGCAAATCTCAAACTTGTCAGCAACTCTAATTGAAGACTAACAAAATTCTTTCCCTCTCTGTATTTGCATAGCATATGGACTGCAGAGTGAATGTGAGTTTTGTTCAAAAGCAAAAAGTATATTGATGCTGAATTCCTACAATTATACTACAATTCAACGAATAGCTTTGGATCCAGAGTGAATGTATTTTGTTCAAAAGCAAAAAGCTATATATGCTGAATTTCCTCCAATTCTACTCAAAGAATATGCAAATCTCAAACTTGTCAGCAACTCTAATTGAAGACTAACAAAATTCTTTCCCTTGAGATCTTTAATCAAAAGCATAAAAGTGATAAATGTTGAATTTCCTCCAATTTTACTCAAAGAATTAATATACAAATGAAGATTCCAAATTCTCTCTTTAAAACAACACTCTTTTACTTCTAATTTGATTGTGATTACAACCTATGTTATTCCGCATTGATTCGGGATAATGTTTTTATTCAAAATATAAGACTTGAATAAGTTAAGCTTGATCTATTTTATAATATGATATAAGAACCTACCCTGCTTCCATCTTTGCGGCTCGATCCATTTTATAATAACCTAAAATTACAAATTCTTGTTGTTCATCTTCTTTCATTTTTTGGGATTGACAAAGGAGCAAGATAATGGACGAAACGAATGATTATGACCGCTATTTGCCACTGCATGATGCAATAGTACAAGGCCAAGTGAGTACTGCGAAAGCAATTATTGAAAAGGATTCTAGAGCGCTGACTGCTTTCATCTCAGACATGCAAGACACTGTTCACGAATGATTATGACCGCTATTTGCCACTGTATGATGCAATAGTACAAGGCCAACTGATTACTGCGAAAGGAATTATTGAAAAGGATTCTAGAGCGCTGACTGCTTTCATCTCAGACATGAAAGACACTGTTCTCCATGTGGCAATAAAAGCGGTCACTCTATTGCATTTATACAGTATCTAATAGAAAAATTGCCAGCTGATGCACTAGAAATAAAGAATTATAATGGTAGCACGTACCTTCACCATGCTGCTATTTGTGGCAACAAAGAAGTTGCTATGCTTCTGGTGGAAAAGAATCCAAAATTAACTCAAGCAACAAACGATCATAACCAGGTGCCACTCTGTGACGCTGCTCAATATGGCCATAAAGAAACTGTCAGTTTTCTTCTATCAGCGACGAAGGATGAGTATCCAAGTCCTTTTGCTGGTGAAAGTGGTGTCCAACTTGTCCGTTACCTGATAATTGCTGATTTTTACGGTTTGTGCAATTTCTTGTATTCATGGTCTGATGGTCGGGTAATATTAGTTATTTTAGTAGATATTAATTGGTAGCTATTAATAAAGGGAGTTTAAATTAGAAGTATTCGATAGAAATAATTGTTTATTTAGTTGGTTAACTTAAAATGACGAAAATGATATTAGCCGTTTAATTAATTGAATTCGGGAGAAAAAACAATGGGCCTATTGTAAAAAAAAATATGGCCTATTGTAAAAAAAAAAAAAGTTTTGAGCCGATCAAAACACTAAAAGATAGTTCAAAAGTCGTTAGTCAACCGGGTTTACTATGCTTTATTTCAAATATGGTTTACGTACCTAACATTAATGCCAAAATTATTCTTCATGACAGACATTGCAATTGATGTATTGAACCGCTATCCTGCATTAGCACGTGAAGGCCAAGGAGGTTCAACTGCTTTATATGCATTGACGGAAAAATCTAAAGTATTTGCAAATGGAAGCCGGCTTGGATATTGTGGGACCCTATTGTATCATTTTTGTCCTGGTGATCTTAATTCATCTATGCTATTCATTGCAAATTATTATTTTCCGTGAATCAAACAGACAATGTTCCTTTTTTATTGCAGACTTTGTAGGTTTTTATGCGAATAGAGAAACTGTTCCTGGAGATGGAGATATTGAGAATCAAAAAGGGAGAATAAGAGAAAACAATAAAGAACTGAAGCAATTTCAATTTCTACACCGCATACAAAATACTGTATTGATGAATAAGCAAGCCAAGGAACTACTGAAACTCTTGATTTCTGAAGTTAGAAAAGCAGGTGTAAAACAAGCTGATAAAATATTAGGACCGGCATCTCGGAGAGCTGCTAGATCGGGTAATCAAGAATTTGTTATAGAGGTTATTAAAGCCTACCCTCAAGTACTTTGGCTTAGCAATAAAGACGATGGGCTTACAATCTTTCATCTTGCCGTTCAATACCGCCAAGAAAGAATCTTTAATCTGTTATATCAAATGGGTACGCATAAGCATTTTCTTACAGCATTGCACGATAAATCAGACAACAACATGTTGCATTTAGCGGGGGAGTTGCAGCCTTCAACCAGAATTTCTGGTGCTCAACAACATGTTGCATTTAGCGGGGGAGTTGCAGCCTTCAACCAGAATTTCTGGTGCTGCTTTTCAAATGCAAAGAGAACTGCAATGGTTTAAGGTTATATGTAAATATAAACTCAGAACAGACAATCTTAATTTCCTAGTTTATTTTCCATAAATCAGTTGTAAAATTTTGCACAGGAAGTGGAGAACGTTGTCCAGCCATCATACAAAGAAGAGAAAAATAAAGAAGATAAAACTCCAAGAGAGGTGTTCACTGAGAAGCACAAGGATCTGGTTGAGAGAGGCGAGAAATGGATGAAGGGAACAGCAACATCATGTGCAACTGTTGCTGCACTTGTTCTTACTGTAGTTTTTGCAGCAGCTTTTACTGTTCCAGGTGGCAACAGTGATAAAGGGATTCCCATTTACTTAAGCCAAAAATCTTTTATGAGTTACGCTATTTCAGATGTCTTAGCCCTTTTCTGTTCAATTACTTCACTGCTAATATTTCTTGGAATGATCACATCCCGATATGCAGAAGAAGATTTTTTTAAAGCCTTGCCTATGAGATTGATCGCTGGTCTTATAACCTTATGTTTCTCAATAGGTTTCATGTCAGCTTTTACTGTTCCAGGTGGCAACAGTGATAAAGGGATTCCCATTTACTTAAGCCAAAAATCTTTTATGAGTTACGCTATTTCAGATGTCTTAGCCCTTTTCTGTTCAATTACTTCACTGCTAATATTTCTTGGAATGATCACATCCCGATATGCAGAAGAAGATTTTTTTAAAGCCTTGCCTATGAGATTGATCGCTGGTCTTATAACCTTATGTTTCTCAATAGGTTTCATGTTAGGTGTCTTCGGTGATGCTTTTCTCTTGGAATTGTCTCATAAAGTCCAGTGGATTGCAGCTCTAATTGCAGCTGTAATTTGTATTACCAACTTATTTGTACCTATGCGGTTTCCTCTGTTGGGTGAAATTGTCTATTCAACATTTGGGCCTAGCATTTTTGGCAAACAAAGCGAAGAAGTGGTCTTTTAGCCATAGATTTTTTATTCAATTGTAGCGATTTTTCATTCAAAGACTTGTAATAAGAACAAGATTTGTAAGTGGGGATGATATGGAAATAAATTTGCCTCTCTATAATAACCAAAAGCTGATAGCTTTGGTTAAGGCTACTCGTGTGTTCAACTAACAGCTTTTTAAATAACTTTTAGTCAAAACGCTAGCATTTGAACTGATTTTTATAGGTTAAGACAACGTTTTATAAAAAGTTAATTCATGTAATATTTAACTTTTACCGTTTTATAAAAAAATACTCAAACAATTAACAAACAACTAACAACCAAATGCTACTAAAATAACTAATTTTAACAATAAAGCAAAGATATGATGGTTTAGGTAGAGATGGTATACGTATCGAATAATACAGCTTGTTCATACAAATACTTGTAATGTTGACATTAAATTATTATAAGATAAAAAAGAAAAATGGAAATCTTGACCAACTATGACGGCCAAACAAACAATGTTCAACAAGACCTCACACTTTCTTTTTGCTGATTGGTTGGTGTATTAATTTTGCTCTTTAAATTCAATTTTGACGTTTAGACTTTTACCTTCTTTGGCATTGTCTATGTATTATCATCCCTGATGTCACTCCAGAAAAAATTCAAATTAAAATACAAAAATAAATTATCATTTTTAGAATGGTAATAAAATTATAAAATATCACAACGTAGGTTTAAGGCTTTAATATGATATTAATATTAATTTGTTGTATTTATTTTGTATACAAATACAAATACAAATACAATTGCTTACTTGAAGTAGGAGCTTTGTGTTTCTTTTAGTTTTATCTCAAATCTTAATTTCATATATATTTATCCTAGTTAATTATATTTAAATATTTAATTAAAATTAAATAAATCATATTATCCATTTTTTTTAGTCTATAATCATTATATTGTAATAAAATAAAATAATTAAAGAAAAAAAATGAGAAAGCCAATTGTTTTTAATCCAAATCCATATCGGTAACGAAATTCCAAATTGTCTAGGAATAAAAGTCCCAAACATATATATAGGAAATTGACTACAACTTAATTTATTATTATTTTTTACTCTGCAACCAAAATTTCGAGTATCTTCAAGTTCGTGGATAGAAGTACAGATAGAACGAGATTGAAGACACTTATGGTAAGATTAATTCAAATTTGTAATTTTAATAATGTTTTTAACTTGGTTGTTCTAGATTTTGTATGGAAGGTTATATATATTATCATTGCTTTATAAAATTTCTAATTTTTTAATCATTTATTTATTTTTTTTACTGTAATTTAATAAGTTATCTAAAAATATAGCTGTTATTTTTCTATTATAAAGGACAATTTGGGAAAATAATAAATGAGAAACATGTATAAATATGATGAGTTGATGATTTTTTATTTCACAATCAATTATATGCTAACTTTTCTCTTATTCTCAATCAAAATTCTCTCAAATTTCCATAGTTCGTTATTTTTTCTATTGCTTTATTTACCTTAATATTGGAATTATCTATTGTTTATTTTTTATTTTCTTACTTCCAATTCCAAATTATTTCTCTAATCTCAATTTTTCCATTCATAAATTTACTTCATTTGATTTTTTTAATAATTTTCTTAGTATTTGAAAATAATAATTTCCAACTCATATTTCCAACTCATTCCATAATTTTATATTCCATTTATAGTTTTCTATAATTAGGTGAATTAGAAAATTTATAATTAAATATAATAATAGTTCTAAGCTTAGTTATAGAGTTCTTTTAAAATTTTTATAATAATTTATTTAAAATTTTAAAAAATTATTATAATTTTATAATAATTTATTTTAAAATTTTAAAATTATTATTTATTTATGAATTCGGAATCAAAATTTTATTAATTTTTTAAAAATTTGAGTAATATCAGAACCGAATCGGACCGTAATTCGAACAGTCAGTTCATCGGAACCGTGCCGAAATCAAAATCGGACCGAAATCAAAAGTTCAATGATCGATTTCGACTCAAAATTTTAAACATTTCGATCCAACGGTTACATGAACCGGAACCGGGTTCAGGCCATGCCAACTCCATCGCCTTCTATTTTTGACTTCTTTTTTCGTTCTTTCAAATTTGATGTGACTTCTAACTGTGACTCTAACTTTCTTTTTAAATAATTTGACGTGACTTTCAACTTTCTTTTTAAATGTGTGTGGGTCGACACAACACTACCCTGCTTCCATCTGTGCGGCTTGTTCCATTTTATAATAACCTAAAATTAGAAATTCTTGTTGTTCATCTTCTTTCATTTTTTGGGATTGACAAAGGAGCAAGATAATGGAAGAAACGAATGATTATGACCGCTATTTGCCACTGTATGATGCAATAGTACAAGGCCAACTGATTACTGCGAAAGGAATAATTGAAAAGGATTCTAGAGCGCTGACTGCTTTCATCTCAGACATGCAAGACACTGTTCTCCATGTGGCAATAGGAGCTGGCCACTCTATTGCATTGATACAGTCTCTAATCGAAAAATTGCCAGCTGATGCACTATAAATAAAGAATTATAATGGTAGCACGTACCTTCACCATGCTGCTACTTGTGGCAACAAAGAAGTTGCTATGCTTCTGGTGGAAAAGAATCCAAAATTAACTCAAGCAACAAACGATGAGAACCAGGTGCCACTCTGTGGAGCTGCTCAATATGGCCATAAGGAAACTGTCAGTTTTCTTCTATCAGGGACGAAGAATGAGGATCCAAGTCCTTTTGCTGGTGAAAGTGGTGTCAAACTTCTCCGTTACCTGATAATTGCTGATTTTTACGGTTTGTGCAATTTCTTGTATTCATGGTCTGATAGCTGTGTAATATTAGTTATTTTAGTAGGTAGCTGTTAATGGAGGGAGTGTAAATTAGAAATATTTGATAGAAATAATTGCTTATTTAGCTGGTTAACTTAAAATGATGAAAATGACATTCACTGTTTAATTAATTGAATTCGGAAGAAAAATCAGCGGATACATTATCAAAAAAAAAAAACTTTGTGAAACACAAAAAGTTAGAGTGTTTGATGTTTCATAAAAAGTTACCCGAAAGCTACGTTACTAAATATTACAATTTATAGAGATATATGGTTTTGAGTTGATGAAATCGCTAAAAGTTAGTTTAAAAATTGTTATCCAACCGGGTTTTACTATGCTTTATTTCAAATATGGTTTACGTAACTAACATTAATGCCAAAATTATTCTTCGTGACAGACATTGCAATTGATGTATTGAACCGCTATCCCGAATTAGCACGTGAATACCAAGAAGGTTCAACTGCTTTAGATGCACTGGCGGAAAAATCTAAAGTATTTGCAAATGGAAGCTGGCTTGGATATTGTAGGACCCTATTGTATCATTTTTGTTCTGGTGATCTTAATTCATCTATGCTATTCATTGCAAATTATTATTTTCCATGAATCAATCAGACAATGTGCTGTGGCGTGCCCACTCAAGTGGGACCCACAAATTCTTTGTTGGTAGTGTTTGTATCTACTCAAGTAGGACTCACAAGCTTACCCACAAATTCTTTGGTTGGTGGTGTCGGTGCCTACTCGAGTAAGACTCACATGCTTAAATAAATAAAAAAAATAGTAGAAAAAGACTCATCATGCTTAAATAATAAAAAAATAGTAGAAAACTGCGATTTATCGCGCTTCCTCTCCTATAACACTACATAAAAAATCGCCTGAAGTTGGCGACGATTTTTGCGATCGGCTCAATCAGTCGGGCATTTTGCGACCACGATTTGCGACCTATGACAACAGTACGCTATTGTAGCGCTAAAAATTCCCGGCGAGTTTTGTTTTTTCAAAGTTTGCGACTAATGTACTCGGATTTGGCAAAAACATACAACAGATTTTTGCCCGAAGAACGCGGATTTGCGACTACGTTTTATTCCCGTTCTGCAAAATTGCGCGCTTCAAAAATTAGGAATAAGTTCTGTGCGATATCCGATTTGGCGACTGATTTGTGACCGATTATGATTATGCGACGCCGGAGACAGTATTAGTCCGCAAATCGGTTGCATTTTATTGCGAAGTAAAACGACCGTCGCAGAGTTAAAAATTGCGACTGATATTTGAAAATTTGCGACCGACAAGTTGGTCGCAAATATACGGGCTGCTTTAACACCAGACGCCCCTCCTTCTTCTTTCTTCTTCTTTCTTTCCTCCTCCTCCTCCTCTGCTGCTCTCCTCCATTCGAAACGCCGCTCCAGTCCTTCCCTGACGCCCGCTCCAGCCCGCCTGACGTCGCCATCTTCAGCTCCCGCTCATTGCAACTCCGGTCCATCCTGTGCCAATTGCTATTGGACACCAAGTTGAGGGTAAGGTTTTTGCGATTTTTTTTCGATTTTTTTTTTTGCGATTTTATGTGTTTTTATTATAATAATTTTTTGGTAAGTTTTGTGTGTAATTTGCGATTAGAAATTAGGTACTGTTATTATTATTATTTATTAAAATATAATATTGTTTACTGTTATTATTATTAAATTATTAATTACTGGATTATTGTGGTTCTATTGGCCAGCATTTTTCCTGCTAATGCAAATGTAGAATGTAGAAAACTATCAACCAAGTGTTTTTGAAGTTGGTGGATACATATGGTGGGTTCTAATTTTAGTTCCATTCCTTTCAATTTTTAGTTTTTCAAATTTTTTTATTTATTTATGATTAATTGCGGCATTCATTTATTTATTTATTGCTTTTTGGCGATTGGGTCTCAAACTGCAATTCAAACTTCTAATCTCACAGTTTTGGAGATAAATTGAGTATTTAATTTTTAATTGCTGTTGTTTTTCACCTACATGTCTCTTTACCCTAAAGGAAACAAGAAAGCATCTGAAGAGAAATACATATCTGTATATTTAGAACTATGGAGTCCAAATGCATTACCTTTACATAAGGAGGATAATATATGCCTCAGCTTGTTTGTTTCTTTATAATCAAATCCAGGATAAGTATTTGGCTGTTCGAGGTACTGGATTACTAGTTTGGTTTTTATATATAGTTTTTTGTGATTCAATTGTTTATATTAATTTCTTTTATTAATGTTTATATTAATTTCTTTTATTAATGTTTTTATCCCAATCACATGCTGATTTCAACCTTTTCTTCCTATTGCAGTGGATTTCAACTTGCATCAGCAAAGGCTGCCCAACATAGGCTAGACCGTGGTGTTTGGACTAGTGTGCGTTTTGGGAACATGAGGCATGCTTTAGCTGGTATATATATAAAATGAAGTTACATTTATATTTTCTGTTTCCTATTTTAATGGTCTGCACAGTTAGATTAACTAGATTTTAGTGATTTGAGACGTCTTAGCCTAATGATGCTATCGTTGTCTCTGCACACGCATGAGAAACCAAAATGTACTTTTTTCATTGCAATAATGACTTGGATAGTTCTTGTTTGTTGTTTGGCAAAATAGAATATACTAGTGAATAAAGAATGAGAGGAAATGCTAGTGAAAATGGTAAATATGAGAAAATACTAAAGAGGTTGCATTGATTGGTAACCTTTTCTGGGTTTCTCGGAATCTATTTTCTTGGCTCTAATGCATATTTAGGATTTCAGTAATCTAAGGTTTTTATTGTATGGGAAATTTGTTTTAACTGATTTGACAAGGAGATCGTTCTGTTGTTACAGCATGTGAACGTCTAATAATCTTGAATCTACCCAG